AGACACCTCTTTAAATTTTTATTGAAGGTAAAATAGTAATTACAAAACAAAATTTAATTTAACATACAGGGTGTCCCAGAAATAACACGCCAGAGTGATTCGGAAGGTAAATTGGCTTCAGATCAATCAGGTAAAATCAACATGACCCTAATAAAAGTTTTCTAGTTTTCGAGATATTGCCACTTTTAGGTTTTTTTCAAAAAATCGCTACTTTTTCCTCCATTTTTGCCTGTTATGGCTTTTAAGAACTTCTAACTCATGAGTTTTTCCTGGGCTACCATTAATAGTTGGTTGAGATAGCCGAGTATTCAGTTCATTGAAAACTGGCACGGTATGCTGGAAAAAATTAATTCATTTTGTTTCAATGTGAAAACCTTTACTAAAGTTTGACTAATTACAGTGAAAAAAATGTACCGGACTGAATCGGCAAATGATCCTATAAAGTAGCCTATTTAATGCTCTTTTACAAAATAGTACAACATTTGTAGGTTCTTCGCACTAAAAATTGAATAATTGCAAGTTTTGTCATTGATGTCGTAATACTTGAGAAATACTATAAATAAAAAATAAGTGCAGCAGTCTTATGTATCCAAATCACTAAGGAATGAAACGACCTGAACAGCGAAAGAGCTAAATAACACGAGCAGTATTAAATTAACCCTGCGCTTGCGGTGCCCAGGTACCACCTCTGTTCTTCGAGGTTACATAATTCTACCGACCAAACAATCAATATGAGAGCGAGATAGTCAATGACATTTTTAGGTCGTTCCATTACTTATTGATTTGGATACAAAAGACGGCTGCAGATTGTTTATTTGTAGTATTTCGCAATGAATAAACTTGGAATTATCCAATGTTTACTACCTAGGAAGAACCTTTTAAGTTTTGCATATGGAAATAAAACAACACGGTAGGTAGTTTTAAATGACTTTATTGTTTTTCGAAGTATTCTCCACGAAGATTAATACACATCTGCATGCACTCGAACCAATTTCGAAGCACTCATTCCACTCGTTTGCTGGCAGATCCAAAACGGCGTTTTTAAATGCGCCAACTGCTTCTTCTGGTGATTGGAACCTTTCACCACCCAGTCTGTTTTTATTTTTCGGGAAAGTAAAGAAATCGTTAGGATTTAGATCGAAACTATATGGAGGATGGTCCAATAATTCCACTTTTCTTCCGTTAAATACTGCCTTGTTTTTTGGGCTGTGTGCGAGCTTGCATTGTCTTGGTAGAGGATGATTCTTCGTTCGGGGTTGATTTTTTGAAGTTCGGTGATGACTTTTGGCAAACAAATGGTGGTATACCAATCCGCAGTAACAGTTCTTTGCTCATTAAGAGGAACTGTTACAATATGACCCGCTGTGGATACAAATGTCGCGACTATCTTTTTCGAAACACTTCGAGAACGGATGACTTTTGTTGACTTTTCTTCACCTTGGAACATGCAAACAGCCGACCGTCGTTTATTTTCTGGTTCATAACAGTGAATCCACGATTCATCACTACTAACAATGCCGTACACATTTTTTGAGTTTCCGGAATTAAAACGGTCAAGCGTTTTTTGACACCAATTAACCCTGGCTGCTTTCTGCTCTTCAGTCAACAGGTGGGGTATCCAACTAGAAACTAGTTGTCTTACTCATAATTCTTCATGTAAAATTTTTTGAATTGAAATCTTTGAGATCTTCAAGGACGCCTCAATCTCGCGATATGTCACATGTCTATCTTCAATGATGAGTTTGCGCACAGCATCGACGTTTTCCTGGGTGACTGCCATTTTTGGTGCACCCACCCTGGGATCGTCGCTAAGACTCACCCGTCCACGTTTGAATTCTCCATAGCAACGGGAAATTGTCGGCTGATGCGGCGCTTCGTTGCCGAAAACAGACAGTAACTCAGCAAGGCATTCTTGTTGCGATAATTGTCTCTGAAGGTAGTAATAAATTATGGCGCGAAAATGTTCTCGGTTGAGTTTCATTTTTCTAATGACTTGGTAACACTTAAAAATTCACTGTAGTGAGAACACTGCACGTATTGTTGTGAAACTTTGAATTTAGGTTTACTAAAGAGTGAGGTTAAGATTCAGTACTGACGTTCGATCCGCGCGGCCTACTGTTTCTATATGCAAAACTTAAAAGACATCCCTCGTACAAATGGTATACTATTTTTAAAAGAGCATCAAGTAGGCTCGTTTTTAAGATCATTTGCCGATTCAGTCTGGTACATTTTTACACTGTAATCAGTAAAACTTTAGTAGAGGTTTTCACATTGAAACAAAATGTATTAATTTTTTAGCATACCGTGCTAGTTTTCAATGAAATGATCTCTCAACCAACTATTAATGGTAGTCCAGGAAAAAACTCATAAGTTCTTAATAGTCATAACAGGCAAAAAAGCAGCAAGTGATTTTTTGAATAAACCTAAAAGTGGCAATATCTCGCAAACTAGAAAACTTTTACTAGTCACGTTGATTTTATCTAATGATCTGAATCCAATCTACCTCCCGTGTGACTCTTTCGTGTTATTTTTGGGACACCCTGATTAGTTTCCGAACCTTCTCAAAAAATGCACACCCACGTCCATGTGGGCCGCCCAACGCTCTCGTAGCTCGATCAATGAACCCGCGGGTCGTCTACGGAAGCGGCAACGTTGCTGACGATCGAGTAGCGCGCAAAATCGCTGCCACACTATTGGCTGGCTGCTTACGTCACACCACGTGGGTGATTGATTTTACTACCACCTTAAAAACGGTTCACCATCCTACTACTACGAGAGATTACGAAACTTGGGTCGCTCATTATTGGGTGCTAGGTATTATGAAATGTTGGGGTTACTGGATTCTAGTCCGGGTCCAATGTCCAATCAGATAAGCGGTATCTCCGCCAAATCGGACTGCTTATAAGTAGGTACATCAAAATGGAGCATCGTGACTTTGACGTAGGTACGTATACAGGGTGGCCCAATGACATGGTCGCACTCCCATTTGTGACTCTCGTGGTATATTTTAGGAAAAACGCTCGGACAGGTCAATTTTGATTTCTAGGACGTCTTTTCAGCTATAGCCGCACAATACAGGGTGATCCAAAAATAAGGTTTTGCGTTACAGTTGAGGTTTTTAAATTGAAACTCGCATTTTTTTAACTTTTAGATTCTCCATGAAGTTTGTAGTAACATTAAAGTTTATACCTATCTTCAATTGTTGTGAAGCTATTTGAGTTAATAATAATAAAATTCTAGGAACTGTGATAATGAGGGAGAACGAACACTCATCCGAGAAACAAATATTAAATAACAGATTTGCATTGTTTATTAAACGTTGAGACAATAATTTGCAAAACTCCAACCTTCTATCAAAATCGTCTTCATTAAGCTGATGGGCAAGTTTTATCTTGTACGGGTGAAATTTATTGTCTTCCAAAATTCTTCGTACTGTTGAGCGTGTAAATGCTGAAGTAACCAGTCCACGAGTGCTTTGGGTGTTGTCAAGGTCTACGTGTCCCGAAACTACTATTTCTGTGGCTTCATTTCTAACTGATCGATTTTCCAGATGGCGATTACGGCGAATATTAAACACAGATCTAGTAGCTATTGCAATGCTCCCATTTTGGTAACAGTTTTGTTATCTCTACCCTTTCTTGAATTGAATAAGTCATTGTTCAATGTTTATCACAACTAGGCAGGTAACTTGACAATTTGAAATAAAAGACAAAGTTTTTCTATGACATATGATGACACACTGACTGATGCTAAATCTTCTTGCTGGTATTTCTGTTATTATCGGTATTAAGTTAGTCGAATTTTATTATAAAATCAAATATCGTCACAACGATAAATGGCGGTTTCTATTTAAAAATACAGGGTGTTTCAGTTTATTGTTGCATAACTTTAAGATTCGATAGAACTTTTAAAATTAATGCATAAAGTCTATATAAACGTGGGTCGAAAAATGCGTGGCTTCCGAAATACAGGGTGTTTAAATTTACTTTCTAAAATAGTTTTTTTAAAATATTTCGAACAATATTTGATGTATAACAGTGAAAATTGGTATACAAGGGTTTTTTGGTACGACAAAACGAACCATGGGCATAGTTTTACTGTAGCCGCTAGAGGGCGCTCTCTACTGTACCTGTAGTGTATTAAAATGACCGAAAAAATTTTCTTAGTACAATTTTTTGTTGTTTTTGAATAAAAAACTGATTCTTCGCACTTTTCAACATAAAAAAGCTCTCTTGTGAATTTTCGTTATAGTTAGCCGTTTTTGAGATATTTCGATTTTTAAGGTTCGATGCATTTTTAATTATTTAAGGGAAAATAATATTTTTTTACATTTTCGATTTAGGCATTACAAGTAATTAAGATCATCATTTAGATTGTGTTTTTAAACGTATTTCGGAAGCCACGCATTTTTCGACCCATGTTTATATAGACTTTATGCATTAATTTTAAAAGTTCTATCGAATCTTAAAGTTATGCAACAATAAACTAAAACACCCTGTTTTTCCTAAAATATACCAGGAAATGGGGTGCGACCGTTTCGTTGGGCCACTCTGTATATGCTTAAACGGCACAACCACAGGGTCAATCATGGTGAATGGTTGATTTTAGTCAAAAACTTTTTCGAGAATTTGACTATTTTTGGATAGAAGACTATATGCAAGGCACAGATGCAAGATCTCTCCTGTTTAACTGGTTTATTTCATAATTTTTTTAGACAAAGTATAAAAAGGGAAAAATCATATTCAGACTTATATTTCTAAATACATAAAAATCTGCCTTCCTACTGAAATAATTTTCCACACATAGTACAGCAAACAAAATTATTAAAATTACATTATTTATTTTTGGTTTCAGTTGAAGTGCACTAGACAAAATAAACCATGCACAAAACCAAAACATCAGATTCAAAAATGAAGAGTTTCAGATCTATTTTTATTATATTTATGTATTTTATTTGATTTAACAACACAAACTATCTAAAGTGTGGTTTAAATATTTGTCCCAAGTACACTTCAATTACAAGTTATGTATCTAACATGAGTATAACAATAAATAAATGTATCATATAAAGCTTTGAATAATGAGAATCAGATAGATAATGAGCTTAAACAAGAGAGCCTCAACTTTACCAATTATCCAAAAAATCTAAACCTGTTTTTGGCAAGGAATTTGTATTTTGTTCACCTCTGTGACTTCAGCGAAGGCTTCCGACTTCACATCCTGATAGGTCGCAGAAAACGGCTGGAAAAAAAATTGCTCTTGAAAAACATATCAATTTTAAGAAGCGGTATTTACTGTTATCCTTCAGTATGTGCTAGGGTGAATCATAGTGTTAAATATTGTCTCACTCCATGGCTATATTAGGTCATACCTTTGACTTAGCTTTGGCTTTACTCATTGCTTCTGGCTTGGAAGTTGGTTTTTCTTCAGGGTGGAACAGTCTAAGATCCCTTTGGCTCCTAGTTTTGAAACTAAAAGGCCCTGAATGTTCGTCTCTGTATGAACAAGTCCCGTCGTGTATGAACTTAACAGCATAATCAGTACGTGGTTTTTCCTCTTTTTGAGGTATTTTATTGATATTTCTGGTTTGATGATGCTATCAGTAAGGATTTCTTGCTGCTCCTTCTCGGGAAGGGTGTTCCACAGGTCTTCATAGGAAGATTTTATTTCATTCAAATCACTGTATAGGCGGGACGCTATTGGGTTTATAGAGCTAAAGTAGTTTTCAGCGGCACTTTTTAGAGACATGATTGCCTTTACGTGAACTCTAGCATGGCATAATATAGTGAAATTTGTTGGATCAACCTTGTTCTTTAATTAAAAACATAACTGTTTACAAACACACCCATTTTATTATAGGTTGACAGTTGAAATATGATTTGACACGGAACAAGTCAAGAGAAAGGAGCACGTAGAAAATATTATTTAGCCCAACGTGTACAGCAGCGTTGCCAAGTTCATTTCAAAAATCCTTATTGTCCTTAATAGTACAGTCACTATGTAAAAGAAAAGGTGAAAAATACAGATACTTTTAATTGTAGCCATTTTTAACGTAAACCTTACCCCTCATCCTGCATACATGTTTATGAGTTTTGATTGCTATTTACACAATAAATGATAGTATTTATAATCCAAAGGTTTAGAATTTTGTTTAGGAATAAAAACAGAAAAGTTTATACTACATTTCAGTATGTCCTATTCCACAAGTATCCATCACGCCTTGATATCTACTGCGGTGAACAGCTGATCAATAAGTGACATTTTGTGTTAGTCTGCAACGTTGGCAATAATGAATCGGGTATAAATCTTGTAAAACTTGTTTGCGACGTTTTGATTTTGTATGCAAATGAACTTTCCTAATAAGAACTTTTAGCAACTACTAAATGAATCTGTACAAAAAACCAAAACAAAATACGGCTCCGATTACCTGGCGTTGACAGATCCGTTAGAATTATGTGTCCTGTGCCGATATGGGGAATTTTGAGATATTACTAGATATCAGCTGTCATTCTACCGTGAATAATACTCGTGAAATAGGGTATATGTAGTTACTTCGTGACACCAGCGAAACGTGCGACGTCATTATAAAGTGCTATGATAATAATATCTCTGTTACAAAATATCCACATACATCCCACTAGCAAAGTAGTGGTATAAGCTTTTGGTAAAAGAACCGTTCAGCCATAAAAGCTCTCTATTGTTGTTAACTGAACACCAAAATGCTGGCTTAATGTTGTGTGGATGCAGATTTGCTTTCTGCACATATTTGATCTAAAATGAAGTGTTTAAAATATTCTTATAGCATAGTTATACAACACCTTATAGGGCAAACCTTTAACTGTTGCATAAACGTTTATGCAACTATTTTATACGGCATATTTGCAAGTTAGTCAACATGGTTGTGTTGTGGCATCCATGGTAATGTTTATAAAACAAACCCGAGCTTGTTGTTTTGCTGTGGCAATTTACTACTTTAGCCAACAAAGTGCTCCCAACGGAAGCACTTTTGCAACTGTTGTTTAGTAACTGTTTAAGGCTGTACATATGCTAATATGTTTGTAAACAACTTCACCATAACCTAACTTTCTGCTGTCATATTTTGTAAATGCCATAATCAATGTTTTAAGACAAACAACGCATGCATATTGGTTCAAAAGGTTTTATCAACTGTTCAAACAGAAGATATAGATCTGGTACAAATTCTGGGAAAATCATTCGACTCTGTTGGTATTTCATTTCAGACATTTGTCAAATTGTTGTATAACACCTGCAGGCAATACCAAAATATTCTAATAACCTAAAGACAACATGGACGCCATGATTGTACACAACCACCCGCCATATTGGGCAAACATTTATTCCTCTATTTAATATAAATAATTATGTTTCAGTTCGAAATTACAGATATAAAGTGATAAACATTAGTGTAATTGTGTCTAAATATAGGATTTGTGGAAGATTTTAACGCAGATAAGTTCAGTTTTCCATCTTAAAAATCTAGACATACTTTTGATCATTGTCAAAATATGAATCAAATACGAAGCCCGTAGAAATTGGGTAACTAATCTGCACGATAATCGCATAAAATTTGCTGCGCAAGTAATTCAATAGCCCGATATCACAGTGTAGAAGTTCTCATATACCTGTGTATGAAATTCACAATGGCCGATATAAGTAAACAAGATGACTGTAATGAGTTAGTTATATATTCTTCACTTCGTCAATACAATACATAAGAAATAGTTTGGTTGCAATAAAATAGAATCACGTAACAAAATAGTTGTATAGTTGACAAAAACTGAATCTTGCATTGACGCAAATGTCCTATAGCGGCTGTAAGAGGCTTACACTTTTGTTTTATAACTGTTACCTGCAGCCCTTATTTAACCTCTTAAATGACTGAAGTGTCCTATTAGGTGTGCCCATTCCGCTTATATAGCTGTTCTAAGAGGGTTTTGCCAAGTTCTTTCAGTATACAATGCTGTTTAAGGAATACTGTATAATCATTCTTGCAACTCTAATAGGAGTGATAATGTTAGTTGGGACCTCATGGTTTATCTGCTCCTGAGTAACCTATATTGTTATGGTGTGTGTGCCATAAGTTTGAAACTAGAGAATGCATATAGGCTGTGCAACGGTGTACATCCGTTGGGCTAATTGGCTTAAGAGATTTGACAGTCAAATGTCATCTGTCAAATATCTCAAAAGTTTATGTTTCATGATTGACAGTCAGCTCAGTCAAAACATCAATATGACATCAATTATCAATTGAAAACAAATTATCATCATTCACGGTTTTCATAACAGTTCAGGCTTCAAAAAATCCAGGGGGATGGCGGACGAAAACTCTTGGAGGACGAGTGCCTTCCGGCAGAGTGTTGTTGCTAAAATGTAATAGTGTTCATTTTCTTCTGTACTGTCTAATATTTATCACTTTCCAGTGATGAAGCCATACGTTCTTCTGGCATGAACAACGTCCCGAAATAGCCTGGAAATGGAGAGCCACGTCTTCCAGAGGCTAAGAATAAGGAAGAGTACCTTGGTTTTGTCGCCAGACTCATTCTCCATGTGAGGGAATGAGTAAGTAAGAATACTTTGTAAGCATGTCTAATAGCATCTGCAATAGCAATAAATGATGGATCTCCAAAAAATCTCAACTCCAAAATAGTCTGTCTGTATTTCATGGTTCTCAGGTGACATAGGCCTCCCGAGTATGGAGTCGGCGGCTCTTGAATTTGCACATTTGGCATTGTTTTATGCATAATTTTTCACTCTTCAAGGGCTGATACTTGTACAGAATGTAAAAAACACTTGTTCTATGCACAGTGACAAAAGATTATTGTATAATCAGTATTTGTCTTATTTTTATTTAAATTATTGTTATAAATCATAATTGTTTTTATACAGGTGATGAATTTTCATTTGAGGTTATACCTGATAGTTTAAATACTTTTTAGCTAAAAATACTGCCGATGAATCACTGGATGGAGTTTTGGACAAGGTTTTGAGTCAGAATCCACCAAGATTAGTAAAAAGCTTTCCTCTGTCGCAAGTGCTCAAAGCAGCTAGAGATGCTGATAAGAATCTTCATGAGTCTATTTATTGTAGCCTTAGTCAGCATGATTAAGCTTGTACATCTATATATGAAATGTGTTTAGTGTGTTAATAGAACTTTACTACCACAGTTTTTTGCTCATTTTGTGGGTATACTCAGGATATTAATGATCTGTTATGTGATCAAAGTCATAGATATCATTTGGTATCCAGAACTGTCAATAATCCTTCACAAATTTCTGGGTTGCCAATATTTTGGACAACTTTCTAACCCTGAATTAAATAAAGAATAATATTGCTGTCAGAACATGAACTATTATAAATAATGTTTTTTATGCAATAGCATACTCTCAACAGAAAATAAAATAAGATAAGTTTCTTTATATTTTGTCCGATTAAGAGAACAGGAAGAGTTAGTACAATGCAAATTGTATGAGAGTCGGTTGGGATCATGAGAACCTATCCGTTTAAAGGAGGTGTCCTTGTAAGCAACATTAAAGTAAAAAGCAATCCCTCATCTATATCAGTTAAATTTACTTCTTAGCCTAATAGAAAAAATCAGTATTCATTTTATCTATAGCTATGACTATGAAAAAATTCAAAACCTTGAAAATCTCAATAATCTAATGACATTCATAAGTGTTTATTATTTTTTTCCTACATGATACTATAATTTTTGGGAATTGCATACAATTGAAAAAAATGGATCTTTGACACTATTTCACAATGCAGAGCCCAAACAAGCTGGAGGATGCCAGTCCTGGGCAGGGTCAAGGTGCTCCTGGGATGCCTGATCCGATCAACGCCTTACAAAATCTAGCGAGCCAAGGCACCCGCAACCCCATGATGAACATGGGGCCCCAACCAGGGCAGATGGGAGGCCCCCAACAGGCCCCGAACGCCAACTTGTTACAGACTATCAATCGGGGACCTGGACAACAGTTGATGATGGGGAATATGCCGGGTAATATGCCTGGCATGCAGGTAAGTTGTTAAATTCATAGATGTAAAATAGCGTCCCACTATTTCTCCTGACTATACTTTCTCATGATGACGATGTTAATGAAATTGTTTACTTAATGTTTGTTAAAGGACAAGAGAAAAACCTGTGAAATATTTTCAAGTTTCTGAAATGGGCGAATCTGCAATCTTGAATCTAAAAAAGTTCTATTTCAAGGACCCTCAAAATATCGGCATGCCCCCAAATGGCAGCCCAATGGGCGGCAACCAGATGGTGAGCCAGGTAGCAAACCAGATCCGTCTTCAGCAGATGCAGAACGCCAGCATGGCCCAAATGGGCAACCAAATGCCGGGCCATTTGGCCAATCAAATGCAGGGAGGAGTGCCCAATCAATGCCTGGACAGATGCCCGGACAGATGCAGATGGCTGGAGCTATGGCGAATCAGATGCAGAATCAAATGATGGGTGAGTTAGTTCTACTGGTTTTGAAATGCAAATACTTTGAGATTTGTCGTACTGGCTCCATTTTGGGACACGAATTATGAACATCAATATATTATGCTAAAACGGGAATTTTTTAAAATTCGGCGATTCATATTTATAAATATTTTAAACCTACATTACAAACTTTCATCAACATTTTTTGTATTATAGTACTTGATTCTTCATTAAAAGCTCAAAGTTTGCAATTTTGGCATTTTATATGTAATTACAAAGGGCGTCATCAATGTAAAAGCACTTGCTACAATACAAATGGCAGTTTAGTTTTTTTTCCACCGATTGCGCATAATTTCGTACGAAATTTATTACAAACATTTCTTTACGTGACAGACAGGATGTAATTTGAAATCAATAGGGAACTATGCACATTCATCTCACAAATTTTGCATCAAATTATAAATAAAATTTTGTATCGTGACAGATGGCCTTCACAAGTGATGAAACTCAACACATAGGATTAAGGTCATTTGATACGATGATTCTGATTATGGCTTAGAAGATATAAACGTTTTTCCATAATGTTGTGCGGGGCTTTTTAACTAACTTTTCAATTCCTCGTTTATGCACCAGGCGGCATGCCTCCGATGCAACAGCAAAAACCGCCGCCTCCCCAACAGCAGATGCTGATGAACCAGATGGGCGCGGCCAAGTTTCCAAGGCGGCGGACCGCAAGGGCCCCCCCAGATGTTCCAGCAGTCTCCGTCACCGTCGGTGCAGTCTCCGGCTGGTAGCGGCGGTTAGTCGGGCAGCCGCCGTGGCCAGTCCGGCCTGGCGCCGTCGCCGGGAATGGGCATGGGCGCAGGTGGAGGGGGAGGCGGTGCCGGACAGCAGCCCAGATCGGTGAGTGATTCTGTTTTTAATATACAGCAGACGCTCGATAACGTAAACACGCGATAATGAAAACTTGCGCTAATGTAAACACAAACTTCGTTCTAGGATCAAACGGAACGCGCGATAACGTAAACAATGTGTACGCTCGATAACGTAAACAACTTCGGCGCACGAAACAGCGCGACGGTAAAATGCTGAAGCCTCGATGGTTATGTCGGCGTCGGGGAGTCCCCGATTTATGATGTAGAGTGTAGGGGATTCACCTCTGCGATAAAATACGACACACTCGGTCAGTCGTATGATCGTTTAGGATACGTTTATACGTACGTATGTATTTCATTTTCGAACTTGAGTGAATACATTGCACGCGTTAATATATTTTACGACTATGGCATACATCCTATAAAAGAAAGTGTTTAAAGTTGAGTGAGAAAGTGAAAATCATAGACGAAGTTGCACTAGGTGAGTGGGGGAGTGACACAGTTAGCAAAAAATATGGGTATCGAAAGCAACAATCTGTAAAATTAAGCGTATGAAAACTCAAATTTTACAAAGAACGTGCAATACATTTGGAGGTCCGGGAAAAAAGAAAAATGCGAAGGCACCTAAAATGGAAATTCCCTGTATAAGTGGTTTT